GGCCGCGACATGTTGCAGCGCGCTGCATGGCGCCGCAGCCCGCCAGCAGAGCATCTTTGACAACGGCTGCTATACAAAAGCTATCTAATCCATCTGTGAAGCATGTTTGGTGCTGCTTCGGCGCGGGTAATTTGGTGTGCTGTTCGAGTCTGCGTGATCTGCCTGGACGTGCAGATACCTTTTTTACAGTCAACGTGAAACAAATGTAGATCACCATATGCGTGCGCCATGGAGTGTATTACTGCACATTGCGGCTCGTGCAGGTGAGCGGGGGTGGCCGGCCCGCCACGCAAGCCGGTTCGGATAGAGATGCGTGTGACGTGAGGCCGGATGTGCATAGGGGATCAGGGGCTGAATGCTTCTGCTCCAAACACAAACATTACGAAGCGCAACTTTGGCGACTCAACTGGCCCCGTTTGTGTACGGTACTGCATGCGCCAAAGCACGACTGGGCTCTTAAGTGTCCTTGCCACTTGCAGCCGCTGCCCAGCCCGTCCAGCTGCTAGCGCCTGGGCGTGGCGCCGCCCTTGCTTGCGCATCCTGCTTCCTTCCTCGCGCGCGTCACCCAGCACTTAAGCAAGCCAACATGAGTATGCTACACCTCCTGCGCTAGCTGAAAACCCTTGTGATGGAATTCAACGACATAACCCACCCACCAGCAGGTGGTGGCCAAGATGCCCATGACTGCAGTGTGCATCACCCGCCACTGCAGGCCGTGAACCCCCCCTGTTTACCCCCTTGCCCCTGCCCCACAACTAGATCTGATGTGGGTGTTACACAAGCAAAGCCGCCAGTCAGTCTGCCGCGCCGCCAGGCCGCCTGCGCGCAGAAGTTCCGCCCCTCTGCGGCCATGCCCGCCGCTGGCCGACACCAGGCTTTCCGCCGCGGGCCGCGCGTCACTTGGCGGCGCCGCCCTTGCCCTTGGGCGAAATGAAGCCGGCCTTCCGGCCCTCGAAGCCGGCGCGCAGCAGCTTCTTCTCCCGCTTCGCCTTCTTGTTGTCCATTTTGGTCTTGGTGCGCGCGTTGAGGTTGTCCTTGCGCCTGGAGGGGGGGTAAACAGAGAGTGGGGGCCACGCGTAAGGACGGGCAGGCGTGGAGGAAAACCAGGCGAGGCAGCCCGGGTCTTGGGGGGCGCCCGCCGCCCAAAACATCCCAAGCAGCGCGCTGCCGCAGCCCGACGTCTGTCTGGATCTCCAAGCTGAACCAAGTCGCTTGGAGTGACGTCAGAACCACCAGGCGCGGACCAAGGCTCAACACCCCCCCCCCCCCCCCC